CTTCCTCTGGCTTTAACGCAGCAGCGTCGCTGGCTCCGCCCACATTCAGCTTCCCTTCCTCTGGCTTTAACCGCAGCAGCGTCGCTGGCTCCGCCCAAATTCAGCTTCCCTTCCTCTGGCTTTAACCGCAGCAGCGTCGCTGGCTCCGCCCAAATTCAGCTTCCCTTCCTCTGGCTTTAACGCAGCAGCGTCTTCGTGTAAACTCGGATGTCCCCATCTCTACGTTCCTGCAGACCGGTCGCTCTCAGCATTCAGAAGCACGTGCGTCGACTCCGTCATTCTGCAGTCAACATGGCGGAAGAGGCAAAGAAGCTGGCAGCCTACGCCGCTGTGGAGAACCACGTCCAGGTACAGTGAGCGTTCAGGTGACGTCTGTCCGCTACCATCATGTAAACACATTTTAACCCGCTCTTTTTGTGGTTTGCACGTAACAAGGGTTTAAACAGTTCTGTGCTCGCGCAGCTTGTCCGTGCCATGTTGAGACAGAGTTAGTTTATTCATGCACGGATCGACACCGTTTTTAACTTATTGCACAAGTTTAAAGCGCACGAGCCTTTCACAGATGCCGCCATGTTTGTTTAGCGCAAAGCATTGTGGTCCTGTTCGGGCGCGTGACGAACGAGTCGTAGAGATGGAGTTGCGACACCCTTTGAACTCGCCGACACGCGGTCACGTGGTTCATCCAATAGTTCCAAACAGCTCATCCAGTCAGTCTGAGCAGCTGCTGGCGCAACACAAACATCCATCATCTTTACCCGCTTCTTCCATTTTGGGTCACGGGGTCACAGGTGCCCATGTCCAGCAATCACTGCGAGGGGCGGGGGACACCCTGGACAGGTCTCCAGTCCATCACAGGGACACATAGAGACAAACGAGACAAACAACCATTCACTCTGTCACTCACACCTAGGGACAATTTAGAGTTACCAATCAGCCTAACATGCATGTTTTTGGTCTGTGGGAGGAAACCGGAGTACCTGGAGAAAACCCATACAGCACGGAGAGAACATGCAAACTCCACCCAGAAAGGCCCCTGGACCGGGGTTTGAACCAGGGACCTGTTCGCTGAGAGGCAGCAGCTCTACCAGCTGCGCCACCGTGCTGCCCTGACACAAAAATCCACTTTTCTAACTTTACCTGACGTCTTTCAGTAATTATTGATCAGTAACGAACTGATTACTGATTATTTCACAGACTATGCATTTTATCAAAGCATTTTTAGAAGCAGCTGATACATTTATCATTATAGAAGGAAACGAGTCTGCAAACACATATTTGTTAGAAAAATAATGTATATGCAATACAGTGATCATATAGTCATGTCAGTGTTTTATAACGTTACACACGATAAAAAAAGATCAGAGTAACTCCTGTTATAAAGTTATTCTGATGTTCTCTGCATGAGAATGCTCCACCTTGTCCTCCATGCAGCAGTTCAGATCTGCTCCATCTTACCTCAGAACATCTGGATGAATTATTGATTTCTATAGAAGATATTAATTCAACCTTTATTTAAACAAGTTCGTCCCATTGAGCCTTGAGGACTCATTTACAAGAGAGACTGAATATAATTGTTGTATTTGTCTTTTTTTATGGAACCAAGTACCTGATAACTGAGTTGATTGTAGCCTGACAACTATTGTAAAACTGTAATTCATTGATTAAAATGTTCATTTAAATGAAACTGTTTCTAGTTAAAATCACAACAGATGACAAAATAAGTGTTAACTGTGCAAAAATTAATTTCCAAACAATTATAAAATATGTAAAATGTAAAACAAGCTTTAATAAAGTACTTTTACTACTATTTATTCTGTTTATTAATGACATCATCTGAAGTCAGCAGCAGCAGCACCATCATCATCATCACAACAACACAAACTGAGAGCTGGAAGTTTAATCTGCACAAACATTTTCAATCAGAGCTCAAAATGTTTCACTGTCAAAGAAATGTGCAAGAAAATAAACTGATGTCACTCTACAGGCACATTTAGAGAGAGGACAGTTCACAGAGACACAGTGAGGACGTGTGAGACAGAGACACAGTGAGGACGAGTGAGACTGAAGGAGGTTCAACCATTTGTTCATCCACCAGAACCAGATGAGAAGAACAGCAGAACTTCCACTGACCAGTGATCTGACCAGTGACCTGACCAGTGATCTGACCAGTGACCTGACCAGTGACCTGACCAGTGACCTGACCAGTGATCTGACCAGTGATCTGACCAGTGATCTGACCAGTGACCTGACCAGTGATCTGACCAGTGACCTGACCAGTGATCTGACCAGTGATCTGACCAGTGATCTGACCAGTGATCACACGTGTTGTTCTAAATTAAACTTTGGTACGAACAGTGTTAAATAATTCATGTCATATTTTTATTGAACAATAATCTTCATTCTAACAGTGACGTAATTTCAGAGACTGAGGAAGAAACAGAAATGAAGCGAGTGAGATGAGGGACAGATGAAAATGTGTCCTCAGAGGACGGGGACATGTCAGGATCCGATGATCCAGGATCAACAGGACCAGGAGGATGGATCAACAGGACCAGGAGGATGGATCAACAGGCAGTCAGGGAACAGAGATGAACAACCTGAGGAACAATTAGAACAAAAAATACATAACAGGACAGAAGAAACTCACAGACAAGAACATTAATTATAAGATAATTAGTACTGCGAAGAAAAATGTTAATGGAAAATAAATTGACATTTTTACAAAAGATCAGATGAAGACAACTGGCATGAAGAAGAACTTCCAGCTCCATCTCAATGTACCTGTGATAGTTTAATAAGTGTTTTGTTACTGTCCTACAGTTTATTGATGCTGATATATTCTTGTAATAATTCTTATTTCTTGTTCTGTCTTGAAACTGAACTGATGAGAATAGGAGCGGATTTGCCACGAAATATAGCAGAAATCAGCAACAAACTCAAAACTACGCTCGGCAGAATGCAGATCTTAAAGTCATCTACCTGGAAGCTGCAGCAGAGGCGTTCCAGCGGGCAGAAGAGGAAGCGCTG